TCTCTCTTTCTTTCTTTTTCTCTGTAACATACTTTTTCAAAAAGTGAGGGGGGCTCGAGCCCTCGAGCCTAGCCGTTCTGCAGACCCTGACATAAAGGCTTCTAAATAAGCATATTTTCGCCCGACTGTAAATTTGGGAATTTCTAATTTTCTAACAAACGCATAAAAAGGTATGACTTACAAAAAAAATCGAGAAAAAATACCGAAAAATCATGTCATTTCAGCAACATTTTGTAAATCACTGGTATCGAATAAAAAATAACCCCCCCATCAGTACGCCAGCGTTCAGGGGCTCATGTCTTCTCAACCCAAAAATCAGACACGCTTTCCCATTCTCTCTCTATATTTCCACGATATGCGCGTATCGCTATTATAAACACCTCAATAATAGGTGGCATGCGTAATGTTTAGGAAATTTAATTACTGTTAACTTTCCTTTTCTTTGAATGGAATTTTATTCAGGTTTTTATTATTGTTATGTACTATTATGTTAAAAATACAAACCATCTTCACTCCTTTACTGCTTTTTTTTTTTTTTTTGGAGGGGGGGGGGGGGTTGGGGGCGTTTGGGGGGGGGGGCAAAAATGTGTTTTGCCCCCCCCCCCCCCGAACAGTAAACATTCAAGAAAGAAGGAAAGATTAAGTGATGAGAGAAAAAAAGAGAAAGCGAGTTAGAAAGAGAGAGAGAGAGAGAAAGAAAGAGAGACTGAGGGGAAGAGAGAAAAAGAGAGTGGTAGAGAGGAGGGAAATGAAAGTACAAGGAAGGTGCATGAGATTACGACTATAATAAACGTGCTATGAAAATCATAATTGTCCTAATAATTCATGACAGCACAACTGTAGATATCACCTTTTCGCTCTTTAATTGTTTTGTTATTCATATAAACCTTGAAAAGAGTAAAAGATTTACGCGTATAGTTGCTACACATGCAGCCTGATGTTTTCTAATTACTAAGAAAGTTCTCTCTAGAATCTCTCTCTCTCTAGGCTCTCCCTCTCTGTCTATCACTCGAACTCTAACATTCTATCCCTATTTTTTCCTTCCAACCATCTACTCCCCCCTCTCTCTCTCTCTCTCTCTCTCTCTCTCTCTCTCTCTCTCTCTCTCTTCCTCTTTCACCCATGCACCTACTCAATCACTCTGTCTCTGTCTCTCTCTCTATCCCCTATGCTAACAAAATATAGCTACATATATTTTGAAATGTAATTTATTTGCTTTCATAATTATGGCGGCGTCCTTGTATAAGCTGTAGCTGAGAATCATCAATGTATGCATAAACATACATGTAGATTAGATCATGCATAAAGGTGGACGATATACGCATAGAACTGGAAAATACGTATTTTCCATCCAGTTCTGTGACAATACGGCGCCTTACATCAGGGCGTGTCCAACTGAATCTGAGTTTAGCCGATCTATGTGTAAATGATTGGCTCTGTTGTTACCTATGGAAAAAGTGATCACTGATTTGGGCTATTTTTGAACACTTTCCACCACTCGAATTTCTTAGGACTTTTTACAGTAAAATTTAATGTTTTTAATTTTGTATGATACAATATATCTATTGCAATTTGTATAAATATCCGTAATAATTATGACTGTACAAATCATTTTCTGTTATTTCGGTCTGTACGTACGTTAACCCCCCCCCCCGAAAATTATTCGGCATGCTATTGAAGGGGGGGGGGGATTTTTTTTTAACAGGAAAGAAAATGTATTTTTAGGCTTATGTAGGGGGATTTCTGAACTGCTAACTCATTTTTTCTTACCGTATCTCCCATTTCATCACTGCAGTTTTCTTATAATTATAGAGGGAGAGTACCTTCCCCGAGTCAAGCCAAAAAATATATAGGTTTCAAGATACAATAATTTCTTTCACTGAACTGAGGGAAGACGTAATAATGCACAAGTAGGGGCGGTTATCCTTTGGGGACTTATGAACATTTAAAACCAGAAATAACCACTACCGCCTTGTTCACAAACTTATTATCTTCCCCTTGCCTCGGTCGGGTATACCGTATTACAAAATATATCAATTCACAACGCTAAATGTAATATACTCTGCATCTCGTTGGACATTGTTCCTCTTATCATTTTCAACATGTACCGCAGTTAATTAAATGACTATTAATTTTATTTACAATCAAACCTATATTGGTAGGCCACGGCTTTGTGTTCAGCGTTTCTTTGTATAATCGTCATGGTGGAATGCCCTGTTCTAATTCTCAGCTCAATATCGTGGTTTCTGAATGGGCGCCCTCTATATATGTTGACACTTACAACTATATACAACACTCGAATCATTCCCGCGAAGTACATTTTCTACCAAGAAAACTATAGTGCAAGTAGATGAACAATGATTCAATAATATCCATCCCTCTTACGAAAATGAATAAGAAACCCAATTTTAAGATCAAAATGAAGATATGTGTCACTTCAAGTAACAGATATATGAATGTGTAATAATTATGAAGGTGTAATATATTTCTCATTTGCAATATAGTCGAACGTTGCGTGCATGCGTTTGCATTCACGATCGCGCTGCGCTAAACTGGTTTTGACCGGTTTTTATTCGCCAAAAATTTCCATCACTCGAGACGCTGAATCTATCGGAAAGAGACGTAAGCCGGAGATACTCTGATTTAACCTTATTTCAAATGGCTGAAAAATCCTCAATTTAGCAAATATACTACAATATTGTGATGATGAAGCTTCTTTTATGAATGCTTTAATGTGAACGTTCTGGGATATCCACGTTTGCGATCATTTACTGAGCAGATACATTTTCACGTGGGTTTTGTATTCGTCCTCGGCAAACGGCAGCGAAGAGCCATCCGTAAGTAGTAGGCGTCATTCTCATTGGTCCAGCCAGGCTAGCAGCGCAAGATATGAGCACTATAGATTGAGTGAACATAAAAACGCAGGTTCGGCCAGCTGTTGTGCTGGTTTGGTCTGCCTGGCCTGGCCTGCGCTGCCCTGGAGCTGGAGCGGGGCTAGGATCTAGCTAGGAGTCCTACTCCGAGAGAAGCGTGCCGAAGTCTAGCACAATAAAACCTTTTTTAAAGATAGTTCTTACATTAAACTATCTTTTTGTAGATGTAAAGTTCGAAAGTGATGGTCTAAATCTAAATCAACTTGTAAATTTCAAGGCTGAACAGGATGACTTAGAAACTTGTACTTAGTCTAACTTGGTCACTGATTTGGAAATCGACTCCAAATCATGTCCAACTTGTTTTGTAAGGCCAATGGAAAGCGCCAGAGTCCAGGCCAGGCACATTATTAGCATTAGAAAAGTGTAGTTATAATGTTAATTTCAAGTAAAATGTTAGGTGCGCAGGCAGATCAACTTGACTTGATTGCTTGATCTACCAAAAAAAAGTTGCTTAATTAACCAATTTACTAACTTAGCAATAACAATACATCATGTTTTGTTTGATTTATTTCTATCAAACTACAAAGACAAAGTAGTCTCTAGATCTAGGCCTAGACCATAGTTTTACCCACTTTGTGTGATGATGCTTAACATTTTTAAGAACAAAAACAAAGCCATCACTAATTTGGACAAAATATATGCACCAACTAGCACTAAATAATATTAATCATCGTCTAAGTATTTGTCCTTTGATTAATTACCGGTATTGTCTAACAACCTGAACATAATAAATATACAGGTTAAAAGCTTTGTGAAAAATTGCATGTAATTTTCTTTAAAATGTCTGCATGGATACAAAACCTGTCCGGACACACATCGTCTTGGTTTACCAAAGATCTACCAACCATTCACTGATGCACGCATGATACTGGTAATTTGGCGGTATTGGCAATGGCGAGAATTGCATAATACACATTTCTTTATTATTCACCAATCCGATACATACCGGTATATTCTAGACTCTTATCTACTAGACTATCTGCTTTATACGTTTCAATTTTCTATAAATTAATAATTTTGAATGTTTGATGTTTATTGTTTAAACTTTTAAGTTAATTCTTTTATGTAAACCCATCACATTATTGTTGACCCAATATTATTAGTCTTTGGACTACTAGTACTATCATGTATCATATTAAAATGTTTATTTTACTTATTGATAAACTTGATTTCAATTGGATTGAATTGAATGAAATTATAATCAAGACTGTATGTCTGTCTATATTTTTTTCCTCCATTTTTGCAACAACTACTGTACCTTGACATTATGAGTTAGATGGGCATTGGTGGTTTGGGACACTGACCAATTTGAGAGACTGTACCTCATATTTGAGATTGCATCCAAATAAAAAAATACAATATAAGAAAAAAATCTATATTTCCCCAGTTCACTTACTAAAAGTAATACTATACTTACATCACATGTAAATTTGGTGTTTCTCTAGTCTTTACTCCTTTTTTTTTGCATGAATATGTATCTCTATAAATTGTAAATAAGGATGAACATTTTGTGTTGCATGTTTCATTTTGTGAAAAGGGGACACTTTTTTTTTTTTGGGGGGGGGGGGTCCACAAAAAAAACACGACTCAGCCAGCTGCTGAATAAGCGGGGGGGGGGGGGGGGGGGGGGGGGGGAGAGAAGGGGACATTTTTTTTTTTTTTTTTGTCTCGAAATTTGAAAATTTGACATTTAGCACCCGTTGGGGGGTGGGGGGGGGGGGGTAAGGTCACCTTATTTAGGTCAGCTATTGGCATAAATTTTTTAATTTTAATTTTTTAATTCAAAGGGGGGGGGGGGTTGCTCGAAAATACACTCATAAAAATAATGAAGGAGGGGGGGGTTTAACCCCCCCCCCCCCCCCCTGCGTACCCGTCTGGTCAGAATATCCCGTTTTTCAAATCAAAGAGATGTGTCTTCACTCTTCAGTGCTTTTTAGAGGGATTCCATGGTAAAAGCTGCCTGGAGCATGGAAGGCCATTCCAAACCTTTGTGGCAGTTAATTTGAATTTTTTCCCCCTCTTTTTCCAGGCATTCACCTTATTCTGGACATCTTCTGGTGGTGATCAATGCCTTCACAAAGCATGGCCACTTTGGCTGAGCAGGCTGCAAAGCTGCTTGACTTTAGTCAAAAGCTTGACATCAACCTCTTGGACACAGTAGTTGGTGCCATGTACAGTGGAGAGGGTCCTGAAGTGAGTAGCCATCGAGATATGTTTAATACTGCATGATATCATACAAAAAATGTACATTATATCTCCATAGATCTGTATATTTCTTGAATTCAAGCAATTGTCACTTGTCCTTCAATTTATTATTTTGCTTTTTAAATGTTGTGGACTATTGAAGATAGAGGAAGTGGTGAATCGTGTACTTGAATAATTATTATATACAGGTTCTGTCTTGACCAATTATGTACTTTTAATACATTTATACATGTAGGTCTTGCATATAATTGAAATATCTTGGTATTGCAATCTATTCTGCTATTTTCGATTATAGTACTCTGAGTCCGAAGACTAAATATTATTTCTGATTCTCTCATCTACAGCAACAAATGGCCCAACAAATATTGACTAGTTTGAAGGAGCATCCTGATGCTTGGACAAGAGTGGACACCATACTTGAATTTTCCAGCAATGAACAAACAAAGGTTTGAATACACCAGTTTACAGTTGTATCAGTGCGCATGAGCAGACAGTTGACCTCGGGTCATTGGCCCCGGAACAGGGCCAATTTGGCCCTGTTCCGGGGCCAATAACCTCTGACCTCTGGTATTTATGCGTAAATTAAGATTGCGCCCATGCAAATGATGATATGCGCGCACAACGCAGCGCGCAGGCAGTGATATCATCATAATTTGCATGGGCGCAATCTTAATTTACGCATAAATACATGACCTCTAGGTCATTGGCTTTGTTTAATCGCCAATTAAAATGGCGCACACAACTGTAAACTGGTGTATTGAATTTAATGTATATTATTGAAAGAGACATATCAGAGACAGATAAGACTTCTGTAAATCTTGTCTGAACAGAAGTGTGATAATACATGTTTTTCTTTTTTTTTCTTTGCATTCCCTTGGTAGCAAAAAAGGATTGGAATGAAACGTTAAATGCAGTATCATAGCATTCTACATTAGAATGTAACATTGCAATGTGACCCATACAATCATTTACATTTATCCATTTGTTTTGTTCGGAAATGAAAATCTTTTGATATGACCATTGACTAAAGTTTCTGGTATCACAATTATGAAATGGTCATTACAAGAAACTTTGCTTTCCACAGCAGAGGTTCATAGAGTGCTATTGTGATTTGTTGATACATGTTCACCTTGCAGTACGGTTGAATTCATAATGCATTTCCTGTGGTTCCTATCAAAGAGAAATGTATTCAAAATGATCATCTTTAAAAAACATCAAGTGATATCAGATTATGTCTGTCATCCTTGTACAGAATACATTTATTTTTTTGCTGTTTAACACTTTTTTTTAATCCTTTGTTTTTGTTTGCAGTACTATGGATTACAGATCCTTGAGAATGTAATCAAGACTCGTTGGAAAGTATTACCTCGCACTCAGTGTGAAGGAATCAAGAAGTACACAGTGGGACTTATCATCAAGATATCCTCTGAGAAGGAAATGGCTGAGGTAATTTGGTTATCATAAATAACATATAAATTGCATATATTTCGCTCTTCAGCAAATGTTTTAAATCCTGTAGGGTGTGTAGGTAATACAAAATGATATGCTCCACCAAGATATGAAAGTCTTAGATCGCCAATACCAACAATTTTATAGGTGTCTAATGTCCTGGTAATGTTTACAAAAGGAATGAACATACCGTTTTTATAAGTCTACATCTTAATTTAGACGTTAATTTCTATCCCAAACCATTGCGACTGGGTACCATCGTATTTGAAATTCCCAAAATAAGAGTCATTGGCCAAGGCTTGCTGAATGTGAAGCAGGTCGAAGCATAAATAAGATTTGATGTAGATATACTTCCTTTTCTTCATCTTCTCCACCTTCTTGTTCTTCTCATTTTGCCTCTTTTGTCTTCTTCTTCTTCTTTTGCTTCTTTTTCTTTCAATTTTTACAGATTTAGGAACAAGGCATATTTATGTTTTTCCTTTGAATGACCGCTGCTGTTTTACTGTCTTTATGTTTGTACAGAAAGAAAAGGTGTATCTTGGGAAGTTGAACATCATCTTGGTACAGATCCTAAAACATGAATGGCCTAGAAACTGGCCAGCATTCATCAGTGATATTGTTGGTGCCAGCAAAACAAATGAATCTCTGTGTCAGAACAACCTTGCCATCTTAAAGCTCCTCAGGTAAGAACAAACCTATTTTTTCCAACAGGATTTGAACTTTTCAAGATTTAAGTACATGTACAACAAACTCTGAAGCATTTGCTAACTGAATCAAAGCTGTGTATGGTGAGAATATAACTCTGTGAAGAATTTGTTTTAAAAAAAAATCTTTTCAAATATCAGTTTATCCATGCGATATTTCCACATGATATGTGCAATGCTAAATTCCTTGTATACATTATATATTAATGTGGCATAGATCTTCAATTTGTATATATTTCTTAGCCATTTATGATATCTGCTGTATTCTCTTGATTCTAGTAATCTCAAATGCCTATGTCATTAACCTATTCTTATCCCTTTTGTTTCTTTATCTTTTTGTTTCCCTGTAACTTTTACAGTGAAGAGGTGTTTGATTTCTCCAGTGGGCAGATGACCCAGGCCAAAGCCAAACATCTCAAAGACAGCATGTGTAATGAGTTCTCTAGTGTATTTCAGCTGTGTCAATATGTTATGGTAGGTAGTCAACATGTTTCCTTCTTAGTCATGAAATGTGGCAGAATGCCAGCTTCTTTTTCTCTCTTTTATCTTTTAATCTTTGCTCCTAATTTGTAAAAGGCATTGTCTATTTGAATTTGATTATGATATTTTGTCATCTTTTGTTATTTTAGAAATAAGTTAGTGTGTTTCATTGATGCATCCAACTCCACATTAAGAGGCCTTAAATATCCTTTATGTTCGAGAAACAGAGATAACTTTGGCTTAAAATTTAACCCTTTTAGTTTGTCAATTTGATTCTTGCTGATCTTTGAGACATTGCTGATAATTTCCTGATTTTTCATTTTTTACCCAATTTTTGTGTTCTTTTTTTGTTGTTGATTTTTTAATAATTTGTTATCATGATTTGTTTCTTCTAAAAATATTGATAGTTCCTGAGATTGATGTAAATCTGGTTTAAAATAGCAGTAAGAGAGTAACAAATGTACTCTTTGTTTTTCTTTCTTTTGCAGGATAATTCTCAGAATGCCTCTCTCGTTGGATCTTGTCTAGAGACATTGCTTAGATTTCTGAACTGGATTCCACTGGGCTACATATATGAAACGAAGTTGATCAGCACATTGATATACAAGGTAGTGTCCCATTTAGTGCTTTTTATGATCTGCATTTCATTTATGGTGTCTTTTATATTTGTTTTCTATGCTAACCTAATCGTATGCCCATTAATTGCTGTTTGCATGGATAAATTTTTTAATTTGAATTAAAAGCAGCTGTCCTGCTAATGTAAATTCTTTACAGTGTTGACATTGAAAGAATGAAAATACACTATGCAAGCTTCATATCCATAGTATTTGTTTAACATGCTATGTTAGAGTGTGATTAATGTTTACTTTGATTAATATAAGAATATAACATTAATGGAGCTTCATTTTATCATTGTTCACGATTATACATGTATCTTACTTTTCGACATAGGTAAATAAGGTAATGCAAGTAACCATGCCTTATTTACAGTTTTAGATAGTCGTTGCAACCATTAAAAATCTATATACTTTTGGCATTGTTATGATGGTGCTTTTAATTCTTTCATCCATGTCATAGTTTCTCAACGTGCCGATGTTCAGAAATGTCACTCTCAAGTGCCTGACAGAGATTGCTGGTGTGAATGTCAGCCAATATGACCAGCAGTTTGTTGTACTCTTCACACTCACCATGACACAACTGAAACAGGTAGGGTCAACAAACCTGTTTACTAATCTGATTGAGAGAGCATATAGCTCTCATTTATTTCTTCCAATATGTAAAATTAAAAATCAAACAAGTTTACAGTATGTCATGCATAATTTCATGTTTACATCAAAATAACAGAGTAATACATACATAAGAGCTAGTAATACAAATAAATGAAAGAAAAGGGTGTCCCGAAAAAAGCCTCAAGGGCTTGTAAGGAGGGGATCACCAGAGTAAACAAAAAAACAAAAAACAAACAAAACAAACAAACAAACAAACAAAAAAAGAATAGTTGTTTACAAATGAATTATGAATAATGCTAACGACAGCCGGAGGGGTGTGACCGTTGCGACGCCACACTCCAGCACTCTACAAAGCTGAGTAGCAAGGTAAATTGACATTATTTAATTTGATCATTTAGAGAGAAGGAATCTTTTCATTCATTTTTTAAAGAGTGCATTGAATTGTGTGTGTTGAATGTCAGAAGGCAAGGAATTCCAGATAATGGGGCCAAGGTAACAAACTGATTTTGAAAGTATATTAGTTTCTGTTTTCCAGAGATGGAATTTGGCTGAATGTCGAGTATAGTAAGCATGGTCATTTTCGTTTAAACAAAACATTTGAATAAGATAAGGAGGGAGGCGTTTCGTAAAAAACTTGTGCATCAAAGAAGCAATCGATAATTTGTTTGAGTCATACACATTTAATGTTGAAAAACGGCAGAATAAAGGTAAAGAAGGGGCTAGATAATAAGCATTGGCACAAATTCGAAGTGCTCTTTTTTGAAAACGATGTATTCGTAATAATTTAGATGCATGTAATGAAGCCCATACCACATTGCAATACATAACATGAGGTAAAATAAAAGTATTATACATGGTAAATAGCAGTTTAGGTGGTAATATACATTTCACATTATTCATTATCCCAGTAATTTTTGATATCTTACTACAAGTTACATTAATGTGAGAGTCCCATGTTAAAAATTCATCTAACTGTACGCCTAAGTAAGTAAAAGTAGAACATTGTTTCAACTCAGACCCGTTTAGTAACAGCTTTACGTCAGAGTAGTCCGGTCTTTTATTTTGTTTATTCCTGAAAATTACAAACAAGCCAATTATACACATGGTCCAGGTTTATATTAATCTTACGGACTAATGAATTAAAATTGACATCAGAAGCTATCAGTGACGTATCATCTGCAAATGAGACAAATTTAAAGAAATCTGAACAGTTTACTATGTCATTAATATATATTAAAAATAAAAGTGGGCCGAGTATACTCCCCTGAGGAACACCGGATGAAATCATTTTAGAATTTGATGATTGACCATCATATACAGTAAACTGTTTCCAATTTCTTAAATAACTACAAAACCAAGAATGTGGTAAGCCTCTTATTCCTTAAAATGATAACTTAGATAACAGTATTGAGTGTGAGAGAGTATCGAACGCCTTCGATAGATCCATGAAAATAGTGATTGCATGTTTGTTTGTATTAATGCATTTAAGAATATGGTCATAAAGTTCAATCAATGCAAATTCAGTTGAACAGTTCTTCCTAAAACCATATTGGTTAGGACTAAGCAAATTATTAATGATAAAAAAATTATACAATCTATTATATATGAGTCTTTCGAGAACTTTAGAAAACAATGGCAAAACAAAAATATTGGTCTGTAATTATTACAGTCAAATTTACCACCCTTCTTATAAATAGGAATAACTTTTGCTTTTTTCATCTTATCAGGAAAGACGCCGAATTGTATAGATAGATTACATATGTGAGTCAAGGGTTTGATAATGAAATATACATTAGGTTTAAGAATATCGGGAGATATGTTATCGTAACCAGGGCTCTTTCCGGAACTAATATTCTTTATAACATCAACAACTTCATGTTCGGTAATAGGGTTAAAAAACAAAGATTTTTCAGACATTTGAGGCATAAAGTCAGAGAATTTTGCACTTGAATTTGGTAAAGATCGTGTAAGGTTATCTCCTACACTCACAAAAAAAAATCATTAAATATATTTGCCACATCAAACAGATCTTCTACCTTGATATCTTGGTGAGTAATTCCATTGGCTTTTGATGTTTTGTTTCTACCTAGAATTTTGTTTAAAAATTGCCACGTTTTCTTTAAATTTCCTTTGAATTTGTCAAATTTTTCATGAAAATATTTTCTTTTAGCAAAACGTAGAAGCGTATTTAACTTATTACGATATTTCTTATATATTGCTTCATTCACACACGTTGGCTTAAAACGAAATTGTTTAAAAAAGTTTTTTTTTTCTTAATAGATTTTAAAAGAGCCCGTTTTATCCAAGGCTTTTTTATATTCTTGTTAATTAAAGATCTTTCTTTTAGAGGCATGTGTTTATCACAATAGAACTGAAATTGATATAAAAACAAATCGTACGCTTTATCAGCATCGTTTGTATCCAGAACATCTTGCCAATCATTTTTTCGTAGGTCATTTAGAAAAGCGTTTAAAGCCAAAGGAGTTATATCACGGCGTAAAATCCTTGTACTTATGTTGTTTTTTAATGAAATATCAAATTCTGCGAGATGAAAGATGGGAAAATTGTCACTGACATCTGACAGTAATATACCGGAGGAACTATTTTCATTAATAACATTCGTGAATACATTGTCAATAAGTGTTGCATAATCTTTAGTAACACGAGTTGGCCTATCTATAATAGGAAAAAGGCCATAAGAATTAATAGAATCAAGAAGACTTTGTACATGAGGGTGAGTATCATAGTTCAATAAATTAATATTTAGGTCTCCCATAATATAACAATATCTAGCCAATTTACACATTGTTTCCATATTACTATTAAGTTCATCAATAAAATCAGTTACATCACTAGACGGGTTACAATAGATAATATTTCTATTGTTTTGATAATGTCTTCATAGTCAAGCCCACAAGCATACTCAGGCAATATCCAATCCACATTATCTGCTATGCTTATTGTTGCTGTACAAATTGAATGGGCTAATCAAGTTCCTGCAGGAAAAGTAGAGACATTGACCATCTTGTTTATAATCTATTCAGAGTAATGTCAACTTTGAGAGGAATTATCAAATACAGAAAAGAAACAGCGAATTTAACCACAAAAAAAAGCTTTGTCAGAACATTTAGGCACTCATCGATATGGGGAATTGCAAGCTCAATATGTGCAATTTCGTGATTCAAACAATTGTCAAAGCGAAGGAAAATTGAGTGCCAGGAGTGGTAAATGTGCCGAACATGAGAGCTATACAAGAACCTACTACTACTGAAAACTACTGCTGCTACTACTTTTACCTACACACTACTACTCCTACTTCTACTTCTACTACTACTTCCACCACTACCACTATTACTTCTACTACTAATACAACTACCACCTCTGCTACTACTACTAGTAATACTACCATCATCATAATCTTCTTAAAATAACCATTTTCTTGCGCTTTCACAGATGCTGCCATCCACCACGAACATAAAGTCAGCATATGCAAATGGTAGAGATGAAGAACAGAATTTCATCCAGAATCTCAGTCTCTTCCTGTGTACATTCTTCAAAGAGCATGTTGAACTCATCGAGAAGAAACCAGAGTTCCATGAAATTCTCCTTGAGGTGAGACAAACAGTCAAACTGCATTTTTAGAATATCCAGTACATTTTAACCGACCAGGAATTCGCCTCTGCGTTCCCCACACTAGGCGGGAACGCTTCAGACTTTCGTTTGTGCCGGATTCGATTCACATTACAACAGTAGGGTAAAACGAGTGCAAGTAACGTAGACATTGCACTATTTCATTGCCTTCCTCCATTCCTAGGCAAGTAATCACATTGTATTTTTGGATGTAACGCCATTGATGTTATGATATTATTATGTTTTACAATCTGTATAATATTTTTTTTGTAACACACATGTACAAGTGAACAACGAATTTCCATTTTTGTATGGACAATAAATCAATTCAATTCAATTCAATTCAATTCATTTACATCAAATGCTTTGGAAGTTATGGAATAAAAAGACCTCTCTTACAGCCCCTCCAATGTGTTAGGAGCCCCAAATTAGCCAACAATTTGTTGGCAAAATTTCACTTCAATTGTATCATAATGTGATAGATCATTTGTAGTAAAAGCATGTTTTGTGATATCGATTTTGTAATGTTTCCATTATTCATGTGTAGGCACACCACTATCTCCTCCTGATTTCTGAGGTGGAAGAAACAGAAATTTTCAAGATATGCCTCGAGTACTGGAACACCTTGTCATCAGAGCTATACAGAGAGAGTCCATTCCCGTCCACTCCTTCATCTCCCCTGCTGCTGGGTAGTGCCAACAACAGTGTTCCACCTCGCAGACAACTTTATCTTCAAGTACTATCAAGAGTAAGTCAAAAACATAAATCAGTTTAGTGTGGCTTGTCATTGATAATTGCAACAACATACATGTATGCCTTTGAGAAACATCCTTTTGTGCTTTCCTAATTGTATTGATTAAAAACTACTATATAGAAGGTAGAAACCACTGATTCAATTTTACTGTAGTTTATGTTCACTGCCACGGTTACATCAAAGAGCACAATCCAGTGTAATGAATGTTTCATTTGCGATAGAACCTGCATGGTTCTAGATTTATTTTAAGTGTAACATTGTCATTCCTTGTTTTTGTCTGTAGGTGAGAAGAATAATGATTTCTCGAATGGCCAAGCCTGAGGAAGTACTAGTGGTTGAGAACGACCAAGGAGAGGTTGTGAGAGAATTCATGAAAGACACAGACTCCATCAACATGTACAAGAACATGAGAGAAACCCTGGGTAAGTTTACTCAAATTGATGAACATTTTTTCGAAGCACCCTTTGTTACAAGATATTTAGTACTTCTGTATGGAAGAAGTTCACCTTGCATACATCTTTGTAAAATGAGATATCGTGGAAAATCTATCAAATCTATCTATACCTTTTTTTATTTGTAAGGCAAACCTTCAATAGCAATTTTTGTTCTAGAAGTTTGTGTCATTTGAATATATTAGTAATCTGATCTAACATGTTTAAATCTCTATTCGTGAGGTTTTATTATTATCATTATTAATTTTTTACGTCTGCCCTGATGCTCATCAGATACCTTGCGCTATCACTGTTCTGTATACGTTAATCTTGTATAGCAGTGTTGTTTTTTTACTATGTTTTCTTTCTCTATTTTCAGTGTATCTGACCCATTTAGACTACGCAGACACAGAAACCATCATGACAGAAAAGCTTCAACTTCAAGTGAATGGACAGGAGTGGTCATGGAAAAACCTGAACACAGTAAGTTAGACTAATTCATTCTTTGATGCTGAGTCGCCGTTATGTAATTATGTATAATGCAGTGTGAGAAGAAATGGCAAAATCTGTTTTTTTTTTGTTAAATAGGAAATTGAAATCATGTTATTCCTTTTCTCCATCCGTTCATTCAATAGCTATGCTGGGCAATAGGATCTATCAGTGGTGCTATGCATGAGGAAGATGAGAAGCGATTCTTAGTAACGGTGATCAAGGAACTCTTGGGACTATGTGAACAGAAACGAGGGAAGGACAACAAGGCTATCATAGCTTCTAATATCATGTATGTTGTGGGGCAGTATCCCAGGTTCCTGAGGGCGCATTGGAAGTTTCTCAAGACTGTTGTGAACAAGCTCTTTGAGTTTATGCATGGTAAGCAGCACTAAGCAGTTATTTTGTATTTGGACTCGGATGAAATTTGTCTTCATCGATTTAATGTCTTGATACTTTTATTACAGCGTTACGACCAGAGTTGTGAATTTTGGAGAAGAAAAGTTCATTTATATACCACCTAGTTACATTAATGATGAAGACCTAGTTGTATCAATTACTTTAAAAAAAAAATACTTTACTCGAGATTAAATGCAATGATTATAAAACGAAAATATTTTTTACAAGATGCTGATTGATTACATTTCAGCATACTATTAAACATAACGTAGCATAGATTTGTTCAATATCCTGCAGGCTACTGTTAAGGCAACTTTCATTTTGTTTATCTTTGATGATATGTGTAGTACATTATTTGTAATCCTTTGTTTGTCGTGTATCTTTTCATTTGCTGTGTGGATGTATGTTGCTCAGAGATGATGTTTGTGACACTGTTTTGTTTTTGATTCATGCATGCATCACAACCTAATCAGGAATACGAAATTTAATGACACATGACTTTGTGCGAAATGTTATTAATAATTTTTCATATTTATTCACATGTATCAGATTGGCATACGGTGGAAGAGAAAACAGATAGTGATAGTGAGTGAATAAACATGAGAGATCAAAGCCTTATGCATGTGTGAATCAAAAACAAAGCATTTATTATGTATGGTATGGTTGTCATTACAGTGCATGTTATTTGTTACAATTCAAACTGTTTGGATTGGAATAACCATGCTTTTATTATTTGGAAATGATTGTTAACATTTCATGTTTGCAAAGAGTCTCTTTACAGGATTTATGCTGTATTTTTTTATTTTTAAAGAAATAAGAAAAATTGTCATTTTTAAATGTCTTGTGGGCATAGTACACACATGGCAATGAAAATGCTAGGAAGATACTGTTTTAAAACAGGCATATCCACTGTGATGGGAATTAGTGCATGTCTGCAGAATCTTGTAGGTTATATAAACCAAATTACATTTTTGATAGCAGTGTCTTATTGCATGAATTAAATTTTTCCTGTCCCCTCATCTTAGTTCAATTTTTACATAAATGAGAATCTATTCATTAACACAAAATGTATATTTCCTTCAGTGTACTTAATATTGGCTATAGAGTCCTTAAATTTATGAAATATGTACCATTCTAGGAAGTTATACCCCTTTTTCTCTCTTTTTCATTTGTAATTGAGGACTTGCTTAGAATATCATTTACAACTCACTTGATCAAGGAATATGTTACATACATTTATGCAAGATCATAGATGTGTTCAGTTGCCATGGCCATATTCTTTTATCATAGATTTTCTATCCTCCAAATTTTTATGTAGACCAACATAATTATTGTAATCAACATTAATTTCTTCTTTAGAAACTCATGATGGTGTACAGGACATGGCATGTGATACATTCATCAAGATTGCGCAGAAATGTCGGCGTCATTTTGTGCAAGTGCAGGTTGGGGAGGTGATGCCATTCGTAGAGGAGATTCTTAATAACATCAACACCATTATCTGTGATTTACAGCCACAACAGGTGAGAAAATAAAAAGGGTCTAGTTTTGCATTCAATAATAGCAAACGATGAACAAAAATGTTTATAAATTGTATCAAATTTTAGATTTACTGCCATAGAGGTAACAAAAACCTTTGAGCACATGAAATTGTATGCCCATTGAACGGGCTTTTGCATGTTGATGTTATATGGAATGAAAGTATAGAATCTGATGCTCAATATATTATACTGTTTTGTCTATTCATAAATACAACGTCATGGTAATGTGCAATTCATCTTGACAACCTCTAACTATCATGTGTACAATTGAGTAGGACTAGTTTTTTGTGGTTAGTTCAAGTTTTCATTGTTTGTTCTTGTCACATATAGGTTCATACATTCTATGAAGCAGTTGGTTATATGATCAGTGCACAGACAGAGAGCATGGTTCAGGAGCACCTGGTTGAGAAGTACATGCTATTACCTAATCAAGTCTGGGATAACATCATCCAAGGAGCTACAAAGGTACGTCTAGAAATACATTATATTTTCTGATGAGTCAAGAACATTTCCACATCTTGTTCTCATTCGTTCATGTGTGACCATTAAATAATGATTCTTTGTATAGTTGTATGGAAAAATATAAACATTTGTTCGATAAATTGCCATAATGTAATTCATGCTGCTCTTTTGTCATTACTTTTTCATTTTTAATATTCCCCCCCATTTATTTAATTTTGACTAGAATGTTGACAAGCTTCAGGACCATGATGTTGTCAAACAGTTGGGAAGTATCCTCAAGACCAACGTCAGGGCATGCAAGGCAATCGGACATCCATTTGTAATACAGGTAAGACAACATTCCACTCTCAAATCCTCAAGATTTATACACACAGCTACTGCATGTGAGTTTTATCAGTTGAAGTTCAAAGGCCAATAGTCTAGGACTCCAATTTTGATACCAACCTTACACGATCTCACTTGACCCAAGAACAAATTGAACAAAATTGTTAGTTGATTGGTAACAAGTTTCTGGCTGTCCTGTAAATATGCCCCTTTTAAACTAGTAAGGAGTCTGCTACATCTCCTTGAATCCTTCTTTGGATCACTTTTGCTATATAAGGGTGCTTATCCTTAATTTATAACATTTTTGCCAAGGTTATAAGAGATTACTTATTTCCATATTTGTCCCTCAAATGTGAATAATTTTTTTCCTGAAAAGCACTCCTAATCCCTATGGAGACATGTATAAACAAACATTAACTTTATGTATAGGGCTGGACCTAGCTTCGCAGTGATAGTATTATCTTCATTACCACTTGCTGTTAATTTGAATTGAAGTTTGTTGAGCCAGGTCTTACTACTTACTCCGTACTTCACTGCTGTGTTCACTCAACCTGAAAAACATTCCTATGCTAATAGCAATTATTCTTCCTCTTCTAAGTAAATCTAATTTAGTACAGTTAATTGGATCTCCCATGGGTCAAATTCAGATAAATGGTGCCATTCAGAATGTTTTAATCGGTTAAAATACATTAAAATATTTATTATTTGTTTTACAGCTTGGCAGAATATACTTGGACATGCTTAATGTGTACAAGTGTATGAGTGAAAACATCTCTGGAGCTATTCAGCAGAATGGAGTACAAGTAACCAAACAACCTGTCATCAGAAGTATGAGAACGGTCAAAAAGGAAACACTCAAACTAATCTCTGGATGGGTCAGTCGGTCTAATGACCCACAAATGGTAAGAAATAGTTCATGATTTAGAGCAATAAGGTGGATTCACAATCCATCTAGCTATACCAGTCAATTTTATGTGATGCATCGTGGGGAAAAAGTCAACACAGTATCAGCTGTGGCTTTGTTATATACTGTAAGAGATTATGGGATTTAATCAGAATTTTTGGTGGGAAAGGTTTGAATAGCTTATCCGGGGTAAATGTCATGATCATCTTTAGTGAGGGGGTTATATTTCCCAATCATTACCATCAGCAAAGGATATGATGGGTCTATTCTATGTACAAAAATGTGGCCTAATGCTAGAAAAAGTTAAAATTGACCCCATCAACAGCACATTTCAGTCACTTTTTAGCCCCAAATGACAAACTTTAGTCAGAATCAATTGATCATCAATTGAATTCAATACAAATGTGTGCGCTGATATGATATGTTCCCTCCATTGTCAAACAGCCCGGGGACAACTTTAGTTGTGTGTAAATTTATATTATACTCACAGTTATTATGTATATATTTGCTGATCCAATTGATATCTTTATTGTTTCCTAAAATCATATTTTATTTTAGTACTTGTCCATTCAAGCTGTAATTGTAAAGTGATCATATACCGATTCCATTTCACACTATTCCACTACACTGATATTGGAATATTTGTGTGTAAACATATTTTATTCCATTTCAATCCTCTCAGGTCTGTGAAAACTTCATCCCTCCGTTACTGGAAGCAGTGCTGATTGATTACAGAAATAACGTCCCTGACTCGAGAGAACCTGAAGTACTCAGTACCATGGCAACCATTGTCAACAAGCTAGAGGTAGGTACAGCAGGGAACTGTATGTTTAATAACATCATGATATTATGTACAGGAATGTTTCCTTTATTTCTTTAGTTTAACACATGCCCACCAGTTCAAATTCTGTTTCAATGTAGTTTTTATATTGCAGAGTGTGAGCACCCATAATATGTACCAAATAGATTAATATATTCAGCTAGTAATTGCCTTATTTTCATATCAGATTATGGGATAATATTTCTGTCATGGTTGAGAAACAAAGGATTATCTATCTATTTATGTTTGATGTTTACCAGGGAAGCATCACAGCCGAGATTCCTACGATCTTTGATGCCGTCTTTGAGTGTACATTAGAGATGATCAACAAAGACTTTGAAGAGTTTCCCGAGCACCGAACAAACTTCTTCCTTCTTCTTCAAGCCGTCAACAATCATTGTTTCCCTGCTCTCCTCAAGATCTCAGCCGTCCAATTCAAGCTGGTCCTTAACTCTATTGTATGGGCCGTAAAGCACACAATGAGGAATGTAGCAGACACAGGTATGTTCTTCTGAGAGAAGATCCATTTTGTTAATACTGCTGCTTACTTTACCTCATTTTTTAGTTAAAACTTTCTGGTTTTGATTTTCAATTATAGTGGGGGGAAAAGTGAAAGCTAAAATGATAATAATGTCACCACTTTGAATGCAACATTTTGATTCATAAAATGTGTGTACTAAGCGAAGGTCATTTTCTGCAAAGGACAAGTTATCTTTGATATGTGATTGTATGCCAATTGATAGATAATGAACAAAGACTTGCTTTTCAAAGGTATTTAGCAATGTTTTGGTAGCTTATAATGGCCATTCAAGGCAATAATTATTGAATTTGGTTAAAAGGTATATCAATACTTTGTTTTAAACAGTTATGGTTGATATACACAATACTAATAATAATTATTGTACAAGTGGCAAATTCATTTAGTAGCAGATATGAGGACAGATACTAATTATAAACATTATTTCCTCCATAGGATTATCGATACTCTATGGATTACTGCAGAATGTATGGCAAGATGCTACAGTAGCACAGAGCTTCTACCAGACATACTACACTGACATCTTACAACATGTACTCTCAGTAGTGACTGATACATCACACACAGCAGGTAAATAGTTATTCCACCATCATTTCTCTCCTATTATTGAATGTTATCTAGTTTTCTCTTATTCCTCATGATAATTCAACTATTTATTACTTATTCCTGTAATTGCATTTTTGTAAGGAGTTTACTCTGGTTCAAATAAGCAAACTTTATTAAGCATAAGACTAAAATGATTGTCATTAAATTATTCAGAAAAGGGTGTTCTTGCTGTTGGACAATTGATGCAAATATACTCATCAAATTGCATTTCAGTTTGTGTTTTTCCAATCAGAGATCGTCTTCATACGTTTCAAATGTGGTGATGTTTAATTGCAGGTCTAACACAGCACGCTACCATCTTGGCATACATGTTCAGCATTGTGGAGAACACTAAGATCACCAAATCTCTAAGCGCAACACAAGGAGAGAGAAGCAATGAACTCTACATCAAGGACTTTACTGCAGGCCTCCTCAAGGCTGCCTTCCCTCACTTACAAGCGTGAGTACATTTCAAATTATTAACTTTTCTTTGCTTGCGGGATGTAACATTTTTGCAGGGAAAAGATTTTCCATTTCATACTGGTTGTCAATTAACTTTCACGTGACCTTTAGGTCATCTTTGAATCACTGTCTATGCTCCCTGTCGTGTTGAATGGTATGAAAGAAAAGAAGGTGCCATCTAATGTGGAAATAATGTATTTAACTGAAGATAATATCATGTGGAGTGTATCAAGTTCTAATCATAATATTAACTAAAACAGAAAAGAAAGTATTCATACTCTATATATATATTTGGGATGAAAAATAATTAGAATTATTAGTTTACTTGCCTATTCAATCAATCAATATCAGGTGCATCTGGTCAGGTGTGGGGAGGAAGGTCTGCGGATTACAGTTATTTGGTTAACATTTTCCATACCCGGGTAGCTTGACCAGATGCACCTGCTATTGCAATATTTATATATGTTTTCTATTGATTTTGTCTCAATTCATGCTTGTTATATTATTGTATTTATGTGACTTGATTTGCCAAATAAAATAATAATAATAATTCCATATTTGTCCATTATCTTGATAGACCCCAGATCAAGCTGTTTGTGACAGGACTGTTCAGTTTGAACCAGGACATACCAGCATTCAAAGAACATCTCAGAGATTTCTTGGTCCAGATCAAGGTAAGCTTTACATTATGCAAAATGTCTTGTTTCATCTCTTTGACAGACATTCCCCTAATCAAGTGTACCATCTTCATAATTATATGATTCACTACATGCAAATTTGGCAGTGCGTGCTTTGTCAATGGTAATAGATATCTGGAGTTCTGGGATAGTTTGATGGAAATTACTTCAATTCTTCTACATGTATTACCCGATTGTGTGATAGAAAGGAGATTTTACTCAAGCATTTGCTGTAAGTTTTCTGCATATTACCATTTTTCTAGTACCATTTTGAAAGAGTTCTGGATGCTATCAAGTTTTTAAAAGTTTTTTGTAGGTGTGTGAAAAAGTTTTAAATCCAATCCTGTTTCTTGTTCATTGCGATAGCCATGAAGTGTAATTGCAGATTTAGTTCTCGACTCACCAATTCAATGAAATTCACATCAATAAATAAAAATCAATTCTTGCCTCATATCAACAATGTCAATTAAATAAGATAAAGAGAGAAAAGAGTGCATTTTTCATACATGGTATTCCATTAATTGTCATTAACAGGAGGTAGCTGGAGATGACACCACTGACCTGTTCTTGGAAGAAAGGGAAGCTGATCTCAGACATGCAGAGGAAGAGAAGAGGAAGATTCAACTGTCTGTACCAGGTATCATCAACCCTCATGACATACCAGAAGAGATGCAGGACTAGAGATTGCCCTGGCCTGGCCTGCCTTGAGATGATGAATAAAAGTGTCCTTTGCAATCCATTGATCTTGATAACCAACCAAAAAGCTTTTGATATTTGCTGCGATGTCGAATCAACTAAAAGCTTGATGCGGTCATCAACTTACAGAATCAACTAAAAGCTTGGTTTAGTCATTAACTATGTAACAGAATCAACTAAAAGCCTAGTTCAGTCATCGACTGTGTTACAGAGTCACTTAACAACTTGGTTTAGTCATTAACTATGTAATAGAATCAACAAAGGCCTTGCTTAGAAATTGACTGTACAGAATCAAGTAAAAAGTTTGTTTTGATCGACGACTGGGATGCCATCAAGTAACAGGTGTCCACCGGTAAGTTGTGCTGCATACCAGTAAAGTCAAATTTGTTTTCTTTTTCAAAGAATGGATTGTCATAATCAAGAAGTAAAAATGGCTGAAGTAGGATCTAGTAAGGGCTCTGTATTGAATTTGTAAAGTTGGTTGTTTTTTAATCCTCTGTGAAGATTGATTTATGTGAGTTTCCATTATACCGTAAGCCATGTATCTACTTAACAGCTCTGATTGCTTGTGATTAATCCTGTTTTAAAGTTTTGCATTGGGGAGCCACATGTTTTCTTCCTTCTGTTTAATGCAACTTGGTAAAATCATGTTTTTTATGATTTATGTTAATAGACATTCACCATAATTAATCTGAGATAAAGTTGCTTCTGTCTTTTCAAACAGATTAAATGAAAGGATACTTTGTTCTATTATCATAGAATATATAGTAATACTAAATGTATTTGTATCACAAGTTAAGTAATGTATTCATTTGATTTCTGCTGTAGGGACTCATCGGCAGTTTTCTTTATTCTTGTACCTTTTTGAACTCTGTATAAAAGTATTTCAAATTCCTATTGTGCCATGTTATCTAAGGTCATTTATATATGCTCGAGTTGTACTAAATAGCTTTGATAATGAAGTATCTCTATGAGCAAGATTTAATTACCCTGATTTCCCTTGAGTTGAAGTACTTTAATTTATATATGATACATATTGCAGATGGTAGGTAAAGTATATAAACAAAGGATTGCACATAATGATGGTTTGCAATATGCTACAAATATCCCTGCTTTGGATAGAAAAGTTTTGTAGTGTAGGCTGAAGCGAATTGGATCGGAGTGATTTTCAAAACTTAGTATAGCAAGCAGTAGGTTCATCTAACTATTGCCTGTATCTAATGCATTGAACAGAAATTGACATCAGTGTTTTGATTTAGACATTCTATTCCAAAGATGTGAACTTGGCATTTATTGAGTCAAAGGCTTGAGGAGTGTCAGGAGATAGTATGATATTGCACCCTTGTTGCAATAGTACAGAAGATATCGATTGTTCAGTTGCTTGCAAGATATCTCACTGGGAAGCTATCAACGTATGGAACACACTGGTTGTTTCATCCTGGCCCTTTGATAAAATATGTGTAGCATGGTTTAGTATTTCTGCAATGACACTTAAATTCATTCTGCCTAAATACCTGTAGATATTTCTTGCTTCCTTCCGAAGTACTGGAGTTGGTACTCGGTAGTCATCTCATTTTCAGCCTTTTTTGTATTATTCCTATTTTATGTTACACTTACAGGTCATTCCCAACATTGGATTTGTACTGTGTGCTAGCTCACAATGCTTTGTTTTGACAGTTTGAAATATCACTAGTTTCCAATGTTTTTATTGTTTGATTTGTTTCTTTCAAGCTTCATCAGTACTTTAATTTTGGTACTTGAAGGTTGCACCTGTAGTTCTTTCAAACATGTTCTAGTCTAGTTGTATATCCATGACTTTAAGGTCATCAACAATTGTTGGATGTCCTTGCTTTTTCAAGAAAAGCGTTAACAGTCATACAGATCACTGTGTGATTACAGGCTATTTGTATTGATTTTGTATTTTTTTATTACCGGTATATTAAGTTAAGTTTCTCCGTTAAGTGTTCATAGTTTCCACATTTATATATATATGTATGTATTAGAACTGAAGATTGAAGAGATGATTTGCATCATCACCATGTACATAGATCTACTATTGTCAGATAAATTGCAAAATACTATCACTATGTGATAGCCCACTGCATGAATGAGGTGCTGCATTTTTGTACACACAATGGCCAAGCAAACATAATTTCATCAACCTCTTTGTAAGTTTGAGGTTCTCAAGTTAGATCACAAGTATTGAAGTAGCTATGGAGGTCATGATTGATGTGTTGTACAGGGAAAACTCTATATAACGAGGTCGTCGGGACCAATTGATTTTCTTTGTTACAGCTGATCCTCGTTATGAGAGGTTCATGCTGTCATAGCATTACCGAAAATTATTTTTGGGCCCAGACAATACTCATATTGTAAGCGTTACCTTGATTTAGCCAAACTTGTTATATTGAGTTTTCCCTGTACTCTTAAAGACCTCTTGAGAAATTAATCACATATATATGCAACTTTGTGTTAATATGATGATGATACTGCCACCATGTTCTTTTGCTTCATTTCAAACCTCACTTTTTTCAAAGTAAGAAGAATACATATATCAAATATTGCTTCTTTTCAATATCTTTACATTTTGATTGATATATTTGTGCTCCAGATCTCATGTACTGTAATTCCTTAAAGGAATTAATTGTGTGATGTTCTGCATTGTATCTATACATAGCATGCATGTAGGTAGAACTAGAAACAATGACATAGGTTGTGTAGAGGTATCATAGTATAGTAAAGTCCAGAAGTAAAGGAGAAACCTTCTCTTTCTCAAGCAGACGGTTCCTAAATGATAGATATAAATCCGAGCAAGGATTGTTAAATATATGAACTCAATTATACTCTCAATTGAAGTCACGTCTTGGGATGAGACCGAGTATATAAATCAATTTATGAGCATGGACATGTTCTCCATGATGTTGATCAGCGTATCTACATCTTTTGAAATACAATCACACCTATAGAGAAAGAGCATCCGGGGGAAGCACTAAATATGGTCTTTGGAGGCAGTTGGTCTTTATATTCAGGTTTTGTGTAATAACAATAATATTTCGCTCTAATATAGCATTTCAAGGGAAACAAAAACAATGTGATCCTTTAAGACATTTGGTCTTTCTATACCGGTGGTTGCTAAAGCAGGTTTGACTGTATGTTCTTCTTACAGTACGATTTGCAAGCAAAAAAATACCCCCCCCCCCCTCCCAAAAAATAAATGGAAAAGGATAGTGAACTTGTGATATAAATTGTAAACTTAGTTTCTGTGTAATACACATTAGCAATTAGAAATTAGACACTTACCACTATCTTACTTTAAACGTTGCCAAAGTTCTGATTTGTAAATATTATTATTGTAATTTGAATATTTTGTGCATTCAAAATGCAGTCTAAATACATGTACAGGATATCCAGCTGTTCATGTGCAAGGTATTATGGTACTTATATGCTTTGAGTGTGTACAACAGTTCCAACTGTTTTCCTGAAGTAATGATTGCCCCACCCTCATGTTTGTACATTAAAAAAGATAATATTTTGTAAAGAAACTTGTACCATATTAGCACATTGTGTTCCTCCTTGTATTTGAAGGGAGTGATTAAGTTTGATATACAGTAAATGTTGAAACCCTCTTTTCACATGTTCAAATATCAGCTGAGTTTATTAGTTCAATGAGAATTCAGATGATTTCACATACAAGATGAAGTATGATGGATGAGAAGAAAAATTGTCTTTTATTGTATGACATACAAATGTACATTAAAATCACAGCGTATTTTGTTTTCTAGACTGCATAAAATATATGATGCAATGTGGTTCATTGCACATGGAGCAAACATAGTCTCTTTTGAATGCTAAATCTGTTTCATTTTTTTATATTTCTTATTCTGATGTATAACATGGGAATGTTGATAGATACCATACAGTAGGTCTGATGAACTCATCAATCAAAATGATAATTCAAGACGTATCTTACACATTTCAAACTCATTTTGAGCTCCGAAATGGTCAGTTGTAGATGACAATATTTCCCCCCGCATTTACCAAATCCTTCATGATCAATCTGCATTTAAAAACATGATTGGAAGTGTGGAGATCTAGAAGACATTTTCTGTTCCTTTTGCAGTGGAAACTCATTTTAAAAGAACCACATTTCTATGATTATGCCAATATGAGATATTTTTTTTAATCTTTCATTTTGTAGATGTTTACACCATTATTGCATATGTATATGAATGTTTGGGACAAAAACAATAAAATGTACAAATAAAAACATGAATCGATCTCATGTGTGGTCTTTAACACTTTGCCGAGATTTGCAGTATACATGTAGTATAATCCCCCCCCCCCTCTTATATCATTATCTCTTTCTCACATGTAGATTTAATCCTTTTCACTGCACACTGCATAGTTCCCCCCCCCCCCATGTTACTCAATGAACTGTCTTCATCACTTGGGTTCATAGGGACTTTTAGATTGAGTGGACGAGAACACGACGAACGCCGACTGATCAATTAGAAATCTTTTAGATTGCACTCGAAGATATACATGCATGCAGGAAGTAACACTATGAACATCACGGACAAAGAAAGAGGACAAAATATACAGTTCCTCATTCAACCCTCAACAAAAGAACATCCCTTCACTGCTATTATGTAAAAATGTGTAGAACAGGTGAATATGCATGTGACACCTGTTCTACACATTCTTACATAATAGCAGGGAAGGGATGTTCCTTTGTCTACCTGAGGAACTGTATATTGTATGCGCACACGGCATACTAGTACCTTGAGCATGTAAAGGCGCTATATAAATATCAATATGTATGTATGTACTAGATTTAGGAAAATCAAGGTTGATGCATTCTCGATCGCCGACTGAGACGACGTAACGCATGCGCAGGGCCTTAAAATGACGTAACACGTTGCAGTCGAAGCTGTCGACGTGCAAATCTAAAAGTCCCTAATATATTATAATGTACATGCAAAAAGAGTGGTCCATGATTGAAATGAAAACATTGAACACACACTTTTGATAAAAAATATATTATTTCATATTAACAATATATCCTTAAAACAGATCTGCCAACCAGTACGATTTAGTCGTATTTCGTACGATTTTTAAAAGCAAATACGACAGTAAATAAAATACGATTTCATATTCAACCGATGATCCATAAAAAAACTCCTCCTGTATGTACGAACTGTAAGAGGCATTGATTCGCGTATCAGTGTGTGTGTTTTTTAAAGAATACAACTTTTGTCAGTAAAATACAACTTTTGGGATTAAAGAATAGTTTTTGAACTCCAGAGGTTGGCAGGTCTGCTTAAAATCTATGTAACGCTCTAACCATGAAGAAAATAAAATACATTATTTGCTCAGCTTTTAAACATCAATCTCGCAAAACTGTTACCAGTAATCATTTAACAAAACAAAAAGAAAAGCATACTTTGTAGTCGAAGCAAAATAATTTGATCTTTCTTCCTTCTGTATTTAATTCAATATATTTATCTGAATAAAAAACAAACAACTTACAAGCAGTTCCTCTTATCATTTAGGAGACTTGTGACAAATGAGCGATCTTGATTCAACATGAACACAAATGCAGAACTGTGAACAATTCAATACTTCAGAGTCACCAGTAATCAATATTTGGATACAAAGTCAATGCATTCATTGCAAGGGGCTTGAAGAAGCTACAGCTTCCTATTCTTCACAGGTGTAATCACATACAGATAGAATTTAAAAAGGTTGCCACACTGTTGCCTTTAATACCGAGTAATGCAGGGCTAAACACTAACTTATCTCACAGGAGATCCTAACTGAAATTTAAAGGGTCTGACTCTAAGCATGGGCCCTGTGTGGACGTTTTAAAATATGGAGGGTTTGGAGTTGAAATTTGGGGATCCAAGTACAGTTAAATCTGCTTAAGTGACCACCTGTGTACAAAGACCACTTTTTGGGGGCGTTTCCCTTGGGTGGTCATTGTAGACAGGTTTGACTGTACACCCAACCCCGGACTACTGCCTATCCCGATTGGCAGTCTTGAATGGCAGTACAAGACAATAATAACAATAATAATTCCCCTTTTATATAGCGCTAAAATACATCTATGATGTCTCTAACCGCTTTACAGATATACTATTACCCTGGTCATTGGATTCAATACTTGCCCACACACAATGTGTGCACAATCTCCACTCCCTGGGGAGCATTCAAGCCAGGCTTTACTCGACGCTCAAAAACTGTTTGACCAACAATGACACTCGCATCCTACCGGGTACCTATTTAAATCCTGGGTGAAGAGTAGCAAATGCAGGTAAATATCTTGCCAAAGGATATTAGTGCCGTGTCGGGATTCAAACCCTCGACCTTCGCATCTTCAGTCAAGCGCCTTAAACCACTCAACCACGACACTCCTACTGTATGAAAGCTTAATCAACAATACAGGGTCACATTGCACTAAGAACATTGGAGTATTCAGGATCAAATCCCCAGGTTCAATCATTTTGATAGGCTAATCATTACTCTTTAAAATTGGGCTTTAAAAACCCTTCTTAATTATTATTATTAATCCTTATTCTTATCCACAAGCCTACTGTATAATTCTTATTTATTTAAAAAAATAAAAAATTTGAATCAAAATAGAAGAATGATTTCTAATGGATTGAGTTTTAAATAATGAACAAAGCAATGTGCACACTGATCTTAATTCATTCAGTTGCCTACACTCTTTGTTAATTGTAAGTGAGTATGTAGTTAATAGTTTGAAGCGCATAGGAATACCACACCCATTGTCAGATCAGACAGGAAGGTTGCCATAGCAACACACAGCCAACATCCACATTCCACAATCAATTTCCATGACTTTTTCCATGACTGTGGGAACCCTCAAATGACATGTGAATTTGAACAAGCAAATCTTTGGACCAAAATTCTTAAATAAAAGTATTGGATATTTTCAAAGTGCACACATCTGCCATGCAGGGTGCTCCAAGCCTCCAACATTACCTTGGTTCTGCTAGGCTACTGATTTTGGTGCTCACAGCACTCAAGAAATTCTTTCAAGGAATTCACATTTATCACCTGGGTGGAGAGTGGCAAATGTAGGTTAATGTCTTGCCAAAGGACATAAGGGCTGTAGCGGAAGTCGAATTGCGAACCATGTGGTCCAGTCCGACAACGTATTCACTACTGAACACCACAACACCTCTATAAAATCATTTATTTCACTTACTTATCATGCAAAATCTACATGCATCTATTGTTTTGATGCTCACCAAATGTAAAACATGCTTCAGTTGGGATGTTCTTCCAAACAAAACCAGAGAAGCCAAATTGAGAGAATGCTTGTCACCACTTTTTCACAATAACCAGATATCAAATTTTCTCTTGAACTGTTATTTCTTGACAGATAATTTGCATTTAATTTTAAAATACATCTTTTCAAAATACATCTTTTCAAAATACACTGTAACATCAAATAGCAATTTGGATCAACAGAGTAGTTACTGTAGGTAATCTTTAAAAAGAAATGAGGCCATCTGCATTGAAATGTAGCAACGCTGTGACTGAATATGAAAATCATGCTTCATTTCTATTCTCTTTATAAACTGCTTTGTGACTAGGGTAGATTTTGATCTTTGTTTTAAGCATACTGTGACAAAATATTTTTAACACATTCAAACTTGCAAAAGTCCACCCCATCAGGACTGTAGATAACTAGATACATAATTTTAAGTTACCAGTACCAGCCAAATCCATTACATGTGTGCAAGATTGACTGTAGCAATGCTTTTGGCATAAAGCTATATCAGTTGTATCTCCACATCTACCAAATTGTAAACAAATTCATCTCACTTTCGAGATAAAGTGACAGCTACCTAATATTGCTTAAGGCACCCATTTTGAACACAAATAAAATCAAAATAATCGGAGGAATAGTAGACAGGCTATTCTCATATTTATTTCAAAATACATGTAGCATGTTTTTCATTCCAAGTCCTGTTTAAACCACATTGTACCGACGCCTGTGGCTGTAGATGATATCGTTGAAAGTTTCTCCTCCAATCCGATTATCTCCTGACTTCATTCCTTTCCAATGAAGACTTTGGGACGCCTTTCTTTTCCTTCAGACTTGCTACATTGGTACAATCTTGATTGATGGACTCTGCTAGCTGTCTTTCATCTCGTTCCTCAGCCACGCTCTTGAGACGTACAGGTTCAGCTTTACCCCCATGTAGTGTTCTCTCCACGGTGAAGCCAACAGCTCCAACCACTATTGCAAAGGGTAGTGTAATCCATGGTGCATATGAACGCAGTCCTGCTAACAGCATTGGTAACATGGTGACTTGCTCCGAGTTGATTCAAACTGAAGAGGGATAGGTCATCAGCTAGTCTAGTCACTCTCAAACTGGTTGAAGTTGTTTGCTTTGCGACTCAAATGTTGTGGACACCTGTAATCAAGCAAACCAAATAATATTTAAGCATTTATGGGTTTTTCATTATTCAAAAACAGCAATTCTGCAAGTTTCTCTTCCTCATTCCTTCTTCTTCTTATGGATAATCTGCTTCTTATGAAGATTCTTGCAGATGCAAGTGGACCACTACACCAGGGTTTCCCCCTACGAATAGTGCAGTGGGTTCTTTAACGTGCAAAGGTGGCGACTCTCCTTTACACGGGGCCTCCATTTAATGTCCTTTCCGAGGGACAGAGTGTTTTCCACTTAACATAGCCTACGTCTATGAAACAAAGGGAGGGGCACGTTAACACACAACGCAGGCTTCAGTCATCCGCCAGGATGGGATTCGAACCCGAGATCTTTGGTTCGACAGACGGACGCTTTACTGACTGAGCCAACTCGCCTCCTCCTCTTCCTCGATCCTCTCCCATATTCTTCTTCATCATCTTCATCCTTTTTCTTCTTCCTTTCCTTATTCTCTTTCTTCTGTTTGCTATGCCTCCTGCATTGCTAAAGATTCTAGCAGATAACCCAATCCATATTACTCACTAAAAGTTAGACCTAAGTCTAAACTCAGTAACCATCACTTGAACATTTTTCTGAAATATTAAAATTTTAAATGGTTAAATATTTTAAGGGAATTCACATTTAATACAAGCAAATAAGCAATGCCCGATTTACAATGGTATCAATTCTATTCATAAATCATTTCTAGGCATTTAGATCTATATAGGAGGCGATCCCAAAGGCATTGACTTTTACATGCATCTGTCAGTTTTACAAAATAGGTGTAACTATTAGGCCTACCGTAATCACACCCTCATGTTACCGGTACGTCATACATACGACGACCAGTGTACTTTTATTTGTGAGGCAAATATCTGCAGCTGTCTGAGCTGTAGATCTAGGGAAGAATGGTTAAATTCATACCGAAATATTTGGGAACATAAACGGAAATTCATCATTGATCTTACTTCTAAATCGAAATTCCACTGTTCCAGCTCAGCTAGCTAGCTCGACGTCAGCTCTCGATCTCTAGCATATCATGTAGGCATTTGCAGTTTTAAAAAGGTGAAGTTATGACTTATGTACTGTACCGATTTGGCGATCCATATATCCGCGATCAGTTCTAGAACAGTTGCAAGGAATAATGATCTATTGTTTATTCATTTTTTGTTATTAATTTTAAATTAATCTTTATGAGATAACATGTCATACTTTGTTTCGCTATAACAATGAATCCTCATAGATTTTAGGAAGCTAATGGCAATTTTCCCAGAAATTATAATGCCCACAGTGTCAATCTCTGGAATGACGACTACACAACGTCTGTATGGAACTAGGCGTTGTGGCGTGCGCCTGTAATCCAGCTAACAGTGGAAGTTACAAACTGATTCAGCCGAGGACGCAGGTTCGAAACTGAGTCACGTCTTTCGGATGGAAGGTCGGTCCCCAGACGTAAATAATCATATCTGATTGACACACGTCTGTAAAAATAAAACACACACACACACACGGAATGCGAGTTAGATATCAAGCGGCTGTGCTCAGAAGGGTGAATGCTCGGGTGTGGGCTTCTTTCCTCTAGTAATTGAAGTCTATATCTTCCAACATAATCCTGATTAATTTAATGCATATCTCTAATGAACCTTCTGAAGTTGAAGTCAGCAATTAGGCGCGGTACTCAAGTCCCTAACTTGGGTGATTAATGATTAATTAGATTTCTATCATTGAATTTGATCAGCATCAGCAATTAATGAAAGATAATTAAATGTAGTCCTGTTGGTGAATGATATCAATCGTAAACTCTCAATTGTGGACAAAAATATTAAAAATATTTATTTGTTTCATTTTCATTGCCAAGAGGCCCATTATATGGTACAATATCTTTTTTTGTCCTTCCGCAAAAGAAAAAAAATCAAAAGTATAAAAAAGCGAAGAAGATTGAAACCTATTTTTCAGTTGGGGGGTACAAAATGAGATTTCTAGATATATGACTGCATTGCAAATATGACATTCCCTATATTCATCAATAAATCATTCACTTTTCTCATGAAACTCATCTTTCCCTTCTAATTTTCTGTTTCCACTCTGACTCAATCAAACTCACCTCCCTTCTCTCTCTCTCTCTCTCTCTCTCTCTCTCTCTCTTGTAATCATAATATATATATATATATATATATATATATAGGCATGAAGAAAATGGTCTAGAGTTGAAAATTCTCACACTTTTACACACATATATATATATATATATAAATATCAGCAGAATATATCGACACAAAGAATATCAGCATTTTCTATTTTCAATTTATTTTCAAATCAAACACAGACTCATGCTGCTATGTACAAAGTATGCTCAAAGAATGTACAGTACTATTGGTGATAAATCAGAACATTTTTATGTAAACTGTGTTAATTTTTCGCGATGCCTCCTTTAGGACTTTAATTATGTTTCCATTAATTCAATTCATTCAATCTTTTCAATTCACATGCCTAATTCAAATATGTGCTTGTGATGTTTAAAAAAAATACCTTTGAGGATAGTTTGGCCTACTCAGCTCACTGCCATGGTGTCCCAAGACCATAATCCTAACCATTATCTTGTTTGTTTTTAAAGTTAGATTATCAGTAAACTCATATGAATGGTTTGCAGATCAAATTAATCCAACATCATTTGGTTGTTGAGTTTTGGATATAATTTGGATATTATTTGGACATAATTTAAATATCATTTGGACATAATTTGGATATTATTTGGATATAATCTAATTTCAAGCAGTATTTTCAGCACTAAACTTAAAATCACCCTCAACAATGTACAAACATATAAAGCATTAAATGCACTATCTATAAGAATACCAAACTTTTATCATAAAGATCAGTCAGGCAATATATGATCAGATTGTTATACACTCATACATATAAAATACCATGCAGTACAAGTAAAATTATGCTATTAAAAAAAACACAGTGCATATTTAAACAAAAAAGTGTATCCAGCTTTGGTAGCTCCTAATTTAAAATTCTTTAACTATATGACTGTGAAATCTATTTCATTATGAACAGTAAATTCTTTTTTTTCTGTCCAATGATACCATATTCATAATATTTCTGCTACAGGTGACTAAGCACAAGGGTTTTTAAAAAGTTTTGTCAAAATACTTTATACCAAGTTTGGGTTCAAGGTCACATAGGTTATTTAATAAGAAGCTAACAAAGTTGGGTTCACTTTTTTGTTATACACACTGTATAATACAAGACTAAGTTGTGTAATTTTCTGTTTATTTCTTTGTGTTGTCTTATTTTTATTTTAACAAAAATACAATAAGATCTGAAAATTAAAATGAACATTGGAATGTTATCTTCTTTAAACTTCATAATAATTATTAGTGTAGTGAGTCATATAATGTAGATTCTTCTCCCTTTTCAAGAAAGTCGATCAGCAACTGTTTGCCATTTATTCTTAGTCCTCAAAGGTCTATATTCTAAATGCCCCAACGATATATGCTTCATCACACTGGCATATCATAAAGTAGAGTTCAATTTCCCCTTCGTATCTACATCATTTTATAATTATTTCATTTATACATCACAAATAAAACAATACAAAAAGAATATATCACTGCTAAGCAGATTATACATAGACAAGTTTTCCTTTGAAAGGTACTATAAATGAAAACGAGATAACTATAGCTACCGATAATAACAGATTTATCAAACTCTGTGGAAAATATGATAATGGTAAATACATTTTATGTACAGACATTCGATGATAAACAGAGTTTACCATAATGCTACACCACACAGTGCATTATATACACTGTACAGTAAGTCTCCACTTCTCAAATCCAAGAACTGACAACAAAATATCACCACACGAGACTGCAGACTGCCTTCAGACTCCAAATAAAAGAATAGTTTCAACTATGTCAAATCAAATACATGTACATGTAAGCAAGAAAAAGTAGTACCTTGCAGGTACATTTAATAGCAAAACAACAACAAACACAGAATTCAGTACTTACCAAATTTACTACAGAAACAAGAATCTTTCTCTAAATGATGACAGCCATATTAACAGCAAGAAACTTTTGGGAAACCTTTAAAACATGTTCTCAAAGCAACTAAAAGTTCAAGCAAAATCAGAAAATGTTTATATATGTTCCATCACATATAATATAATAAACTGACTAATAATGGAATCCACAGTCTTAATTTTATTTGAGTTTACATCGCATTTTACATTTCCATCTGCTAGTAAATGGTAGAACATGATATAGCCACTTTCAACTGCAAGTTATGTACAAAGCAACACTGATTCATCACTTTCAAAGACACTATAGAAATGTTTGTATATATGTATATATTTACAATGGAAGGTGAAAGTCAGGGATAAAAGAAGAAGAGAGAGGAAACAAAAATAATACACAGCATGCTACACATCAGCTAGATATCTGGATCCCATTAACATGTATTTTGATGATGGATAACATTTCTTGCTACCATGATGCGAATAAGGAAGGGATTAATGTTTAACAGTGATGGCAGTTCATAATCATAATATGAAAACAATGTACATATGGAGTAAATATATACAAAAAGACTCTCTCTTTTTTTTGTCGGTAACAGTTTCACAAATGTTTTCTTGAAAAAGACAAGATAATACTCAAATCTTTAACCCCCATCTTACATCAAAATGTAAATAACCTTAACAGCATGCATCATTACTGATTATGAGATAGTACAATACTGATGAAAACTATTTACAAATGTACCCTATCAACACTTATCTCTAAATGCCGTTTAAAAAACCTCAGTTGCTTCCTCATGTTACTAGTAGCTGAGAAAGTGGCAAAGATTACCACAAGAGAAAAGTTACAAATGACACAGAATTCCTTGAAGTACCAGTACACGAATGACTTCATGTCAACAATGTCAGCTGTCTAATTATTCTTTTCAGAAATAATGTATCCATGAAAGATTATCAAATTTCTTTGTAAGCTTTCTCCATGTACACATGATATAAGATGATCAATTTTCTATATGCAATCTCAAAAACATTTCATACAACAGGCCTATCTTCCTCTTTCCATTTCCCGAAAATGAATCAAGAATGCCATACCCTTCTAAGAGTCATCAAAGTTCTTGCAATCTGACCACATTGCTATCCCATTGGATTATTGTTGTTGTTGTTACTATTACTGGTATTGTTCATATCCATAACAGAGTCATTATACGCGCTATACACAAGATCATCATTAATCGTTGCTGTTACATCCTGAAATGCCGCGATGTCTACCGTATCCAGATTGCTGTATGTCAGATCACTCAGTATGTTAGGATGCGGCACGGACTGCACGATGACACGCTCGTTTCCTCCAACAGCCCCTCCAGTTGCCTCAACAGAAGACATGAGCTCATTGGCTATAGCATTGATTCTCTGCAAGCTGGTTGTGCGTTCCTCATCCTGAGGATCTTGCTCCATCTCTTCGTTGGTGGCGAGGGATATCAGGAACGCTTGAGCTGGGATGTCCAGTGTACCTTGGTCAGTGCTGACCGGTTGATGCTGCGGTTGCTGCGGTTGTTGTGGTTGCTGTATCATGGTACCGGAGCTCATGTGTGCTTCGCTGGTGAAGGTCAATGGTAGGTTTCTATCCTGCTGAATCTGTGCCGTGCCTCCAGCATATATGACATTGCCAAGTAGAGTAGGCTGGGGTTCACTCACGCCAAGCGTTTGGTCTCCTGAAATAGACAACAAGCATACGCCCATCATGACCATGTCATTCAATGTCATCCATTGAATACTGAGCCAAAGAAAAATCAAGCTGGGAGCTATGGTAAATGCATGTTAAACTAAATTTGAAGTGTATAGAACAGAGTAAGTTGAATCAGAGCAAAGTGTTGCACTGTATTCTTGTATATTTTTCAAGGAAATATGCTATGCAGATATTTAAATATCCGCAATGATAGTTATATGTGTGTACTTTATTTGTTCTACACACTGAATGACTCTTTCAATTTTCACAGATTAATCTATAATTAGTAATTGTATTTATGATTATCTATGATCTCCTTCATCTACACATGAAATGGAATTAATTAAGCCACTGCATTATTATTTTTTCTGTGTTTATTTTCTAATATGAACACAAGCCTCTAATGAAAATTTTCATTCTCAATATTGTAGTTATTTTCAAAATTAAAAAAAATATGTCAGTGATGTTAATAATGGTATCTACTTTCATACAAAAGTTATTTACAATATATCACATGTTAGATAAAGAGATATATTAAAAGCATCTTCAGGGAATAGAAATAAGCACTGAACTTCAGGTTTTACTGCCATATCGCTATCTTTTTTCTTCATACCTCTCATGAGATGTTGTCGCAGGCTACGTCTGGTGTCTGATGATGCCATTGCCATGGTAACAGGTGTTGGCGTGAGGGTTGATTGTGCGTTGGATACAGGCTGACCCAATGGAGCACCACTGCATGATTGGGAACTTGCTCCAAGGGTCTCAGCTATGGGTGATCAAAAACACAATCAGAGTTGTAAAATCAAAATCAAATTCTTCAGAAAATTAATTGAATAATTTACCCTTCCATATATATATAAATATATATATATATACACACACACACACACACACACACACACACACACACACACACAGACCAGTTTGCATTAAAAGAGATATGAGGGTACTAAATCTGACATCGGCTCAAACGGGGAACAGAGGAGAGTGGAGACGGACAACCAACCCCTGCTAAGGGAATATATAGTTCTACGGGTTATAGTCTTCTCTTAATCAGAACACTGTGCGCTTAGAAACATCAGTATTAAGCGCCTAATAAATGTTATGTATTATTATTTTAAATATAGTTCAAGGAATAGTAGTTGTTGTTTACATTTATCATTAAATTTTGAAGTGAAACTGCATACACAATCTAAAATAGGTTGAATTGCATGATCATCAACAAATCCCCACCTAAATTAATTATTACTATGCTAATATTGCAGGTGCAGATACTTTCTGTATAAAACTTCTAATAAGAAAAATGATACATGTGACTATACAGAATTTTACGGAAAGACATATGCTAAAGCAGAGAGAATATGACATATATTTATTTTCCACATGTTAAATCTTAGAAATCCTACAACAATAACAACAAAAACAAAAACTTACTCTTGAATGGTTGGCCACTGCTGGTGAAGAACTTGTTGTACTCTTCAGGCCCCTTGTGAGATAACTTTCTCTTCTTCTTCTCAATATCTCTAAAACCTGTTAACAGAGAGAAAGTTGATAAATCTTTTAAATTAGTCGAACCTTGACCCCCACAGGCAATGCACAATATTCAAATGCCCTAAACTCCCTAAAGATAAAGTCTAAAGAAGTCATTCAAAACATGAGTGGTCATACAGTAACAGGCATGGGTAGCACAGAATTGAGCTAAGCAGAAGGCTTCCAACAGATATACCTCCATGAAATATCAAACAATTTGTGATGTTTCTAAGTAACCTATTTTTATGGAAGAGAAGAAAAAAAGAAAATGAGTTTGTGTTTCAAAAAGATCTTAATAAGATAAAATTTTGATGCAGCCAGAAGGGCATTGAGTTGACACTCATCTCCCTACAAACAGACAAAACAGTGAAGTTTCTTTAGGTCCAGTTATTTCATATAATTCAACATGCTATGGAAAAGAAGAATCTATAATGTACTACTGGGGTACTAAATATAAGACATCCACATTTTATCTACAGAAACCGATTTCAATCAGGTAATTATCAGGCATGTATCTAGGGCCCAATCAAATAAACAAAAATTATCCAAATTCAGCTGCCAATTCTGCAAAGGGCAATACAAAATATGAGTTGGTATTGATATTACCTATCTCCAGAATAAATTATCTTTACAATATTATGCAACTTTAAAGTCAACTGGTATGCTCTAGTTTGACGAGAATACATCAATTGCATATATCATCACTTCTTGTCCATCAGTACATTACACTTTCTGCAAGCTGGCTTTACAAAACCAAATTATTATTTATCCGTAGAGTGCATTATCAATATTTGACTCAAAGGAACAAATTTATAAAGGAGGTTTCATTTTACATTTGGTCTAGGTCATGGCTTAATCTCCATATTGGACTAATTTCATATTAAAATAAGCTTATGTTATCCATCCATCAGACATGAGGTCACATGGATACTTAGCTTACGGAAGTTTAAACCGTGAATTAAAACAAACTTCTTTCGTGAACTGGGGCCAAAGGTTCATTCTCATTCTCTCAAAATATTTACCATGAACAGACTCCCGGGGCTTGTAGATGAAAGGCATCTCTCTGCTTGATTCATCATCTGAAGGTCGGTAGAGATGGAACTGAACCGTCACTGCTGTCTTGATGTTCTGATTCACAAAGCGAGGTGTCTTGCACACAATGGCAAACTGTTGAGCAAAATATATTCATAGGATTATTGATTTCTCTTAAAGGTAAATCCAACATTGATAGCAAACTAGTCTAGATGAAAGCACAAACATCAGAGAAGTAGATTGGTGGAAGTTTGAATGAAATCGGACAAAAATGAGAAAGTTATACATTTGAAAATTGTAATCACTACAGGTATGGGCTCTACAAATTGCCTGAATCAGTAATGTCTCTGTGATGTAGTGGCAAACAAATTTCCTATTTGTTCCAACACACAAAATGACTTTAAAAAATACATTATTCAAATAGGCCCTATAATATGCTTTCCATCATATATTTTGATTAGTGCACCAAAGGAGAAGGCACCAAGAAGAAAAACAGAAATTAATGATATTTTTGTAAAGGGTAGAGTTATCTGCGACTACATCATAATCTACTGACCAAACTACCAATTCAAGATTCACATAGACTTATTGACCTCACTTTTCAAACATTCATAAATTTCTTATTATCGGTCCGATTCAATTCTTTTTTTAAATAAATACTTTCCCCATTCTGTTCAATCTTGTAATTATGTTTGCCCTTTAAGATTACTTTGTGAAAGGCATGTACCAGGAAGGAGATTACAATGCTCTGGATGACATTAAAAAGCATGAAACATGATATTGCATCAATTGTGAACAATTCATGATTTAAATGCAATGCGAACATGGTACCAGGAGTTCATGTTTCATGGTTTTACAGTGTATCAGGCTGATCGATGTAATGTAAAATTAATCATTACTCAATATATCAATGTGGATCTAGTCAGTTCTTCAAACGGCTACACAGCATCCTACTATCATCACCGTAAAGAACTACCGGTACACATCATAATGACGAGACAAGATGACACTGCATGTACTCTACCGAGTCAACGATTAAATTCATTACCTGTCTGTGGACATCACTTGGACTGAATTCACCAAATGCTTCCCAGGGTTGGTTCTTTTCAGCGTCATGTCCATAGAACTTCACCTTGATATCATCTGTAATCAACAACATCATATTACAAGCATGTCTCAAAACAGAATCACATTCAACATTGACGTAATGTGAAAGGGAAAGTTTTCCTGATAAGGAGAAGTAAATTAATTTAACTATTTGTTAAAAATCTGCAACTGAATTTTATCTTGAGCACATTAAAACACTCCATGACTGTTGCTTTCATTATCAGTTACAGAGCATGTGGATTGATTCATTGCTGTTTCAATCTACAAGTGCATTATATAGAACTGGAAGGTGTTTCACAAAGATCCTAAGTCAAACTTACCTCTACGTTGGACTATGGACTATGGAGAGCCATTTTTAGCCTTAAAATAAAGTTTATTCTAAAGCGAAAATTCCAAGTATTTTAGTCTTCTTTTTTTTATATATTCTACATCAAGAACATGAAATCTCTGTGATAATACAAAATATGGATGATTTGAATCAACATTTTATGCATTTTAAAATAACTTTTACAAAATATTTTCATAGATGCTAATGGCTTTCCATAATTGTCAAGTTCAACTTAGGATCTTTGTGAAACACCCTCCAGATTCTATAAGTATATATATATGAGAAGTAGAAACCATACCAGAATAAAGTTTTCTGACAAGGACTTTCTTTCAGTGCTTCAAACATTCAAATCAGTGAAATTTTCAAGAGAGCCTAGTGAAAGGGAGCTTACCTGATTGAACTTTTTCGCAAAGAATGAAGAGTTCATCGCCTCCTTCCACGCTACCAGTACTGATATTGACACGACAGATGGAGAGCACTGTATCCTCTATAAAAACAATTCATAAATAGAAACATTAGCAACCAGGATATCTGGAGAAAAGAGCATTTAGGGTTTAATATTACAAGTGCCAGCAAGAGTTGAAAAAACACATCTTTTAAAAAAGAGAGCTGAAGATTTTGATACCATATCTAATATCTTTGGGTAGATTAGTATTTTTTTTATATCAAAATTGAAAGTGGGTTATAAAACTGTGAAGGTGATAAGAAACACTGTCTTTCAAAACTGGATAGCTAGTAGGTCCATGTTTTAACTTTAGTGACAATGTAGAGGTTCATTAAAAAGGTTTGAAACAAAATTAAACAACATTTCCAAAACAACCAAAGTTTTAACATGACCATGGATAATAATTTAATCATGTTTTTTGGCTTTCACAGCATGGCTCCAGGCCAAGTTGGAACATTTCTAAAATTCCCCTTGTCTGTACCAGCAATATTTGAAGCAAATGTTTTGGCATTACACATGACTGTTATGTCCACAGGGACTTTCATGAAAAACATCGTCTCCAGTTTTTCCAAGAATGTTAGCTTCCTGTCGAAGGTCAGAAAAGTCATTCAAATGCAATCATATGTTATAGAATCTACTGTTCAATACATGAATCATTTGCATGAAAGGAAAAAGGGTAAATTGATCAAATGTAAGGGGATTTCTTTATCTCTCTTTGCTCAGCATACAATTTTACAGTTCCTACCAAATTGTTTTGTAAACATTAAAATTTGTAATCATTGCATTCTGTAAGACTTTGGACCTTTACAGCATGTCTGCACTAGTTTGGCCATGGGGGATTAGACCTCCCTGCAAGGTCACTGACAGGTGGTTATCTCATCAAATCAGCTCTCAATTAACATAAGAAAAAGTGATCATGGGGGACTGACAGGCACCGATTAGGCATTGTTTGCTATATAGAGGGCGAAAGTAGCTATAAGTAGTGCAGTTGGGATTTAAATGCTATAAAAATGAAGGAATAAATGTGTACTCACTCTTGTCGTATACTGCAGTAGATGTGACTGGGGTCAGGTATTTGTCAAAGACACCGGATGATTCTATTGTCTCAATGTAAACTTCAAAGAAGAGTCGAACAGCCTTCATCTCGTAATTGTGTTTTTTACCAGTCTTTCCCTTATTCACCACCATGGATAGTTTGACACCAGCCCTCTTTCTCTCCTCAAGTGAGTTCTCCACCTCTTTATTCATTGTACGCTGCACTCCAATCTTATGAAAGCTGTATACAAAGCACAAGTAATTATCATCAAAAATAGCCTGTCAGTTGAATGGCATTTAATATATCCCTAGAAATATCATGGTAACTATCCTGTTTAGTCTTTTTTTTATGTGAAAAATTAGTTTTTATATCTTTACTCAATTCAATTTTTTTTCCATATTTAGTTAACTTGCATTTTCTAAAAGCTCAGTTTGAATTAAATCAATTGCATGCAAAGAATAAAACTGGACGATCCTGTAGTTGGTATTTTCACATTTTAAGCAACTCAGTCTCTGATAACTATAATAGGCTGAATCTTTCCTGATTAATTAATACATTTCCAAAAACAAAATCAACAAAAACAAATTAAAGATTGATAAGCACATAAGTGAACCGGATAACAATACATATTTTTTTTCTAACAGGAAGGAAGTCAATCCATGTGAGGTACAGAGGTTGTGTTTGCAGTTTGTCATCAAAACAATTTTAAAAACCTCTATTGACAATGGTCGATGAGCATTAATTGAATAACAGTATTTACACAATGGGTGAATAGAGCAGTCTGACATTGCACAGGGTGCTAAAAATGTACATGCATCGTACACTACATGGGAAGTCACAATTTGTGTCAATTTGACATGAAACACAAAAGGAACATGAATTAATCTCAATATGTTTTGGCTATACATGTAGATCAGAAGAGTAACCCATTGGTTATTGAACTACCTCATACACTCCTCTTAATACAGGAGCCAACATGTTCTATATTAGGAATGGGTGAACATGGAGCTTACACATAATGTACACTCACATAAATATTAATCATCTATAAATATAAATCACTAAAAGAGTTTCTTACACTACTTCTGGTCTTTGTGGATCAATCATTCTGGTGCATACACCATCTCTGCAACCATCACCTACCAGACGATGGGGATGGGGAAGGGGCGGATCATTCTTGGTCACCAAGGATACTACCACCTTGGCTCGCCCACTCAAATTGGCCACCTGCAATGAGAAAAGGAGAAAATACACAATATGTAAAAATCAGTCTTGCAATGCAGTCATAACAGGATAAAAACATCTGTTGAACAAACTCCTACATTGAAGGAATATCTACTATCTTACTGTACGTAAGTTAAGAAAGTCACAGGTGAGAGCGTGAATTTATGAGGCCCTCCTTTTTGTTTCCATGCACTGCATATCGACTACCAGTATTGGTTACTTCGCATCCATTTTGAATTATATATTTTAATTATATTTTATATATACGGCTGCTAATTGAAACTTTGTAAGAACCAATTTCTATACTGATTGATTGATTGATGGTTGCAGGATTTCATTGAATATTATCCATTCTCGCAGTTTAAAGACTGAGATGCAATGGTTACAACAGTTTACAAAGTAACATGATAAAAGCAATTATACAATAATTATTAAAACAGTCTAAGCAATCCACAATGAAATTTAAAAAATAAAATGACAATAATAATGGCAACTATTTTAAAGTTTGATTAAAAAGCAATGAAAATCTTTGAATCGATCATTCAATCTACCTTGATAGTCGGATAAGAGGGCAGATCAGATGTGGATTTCTCCCCTGCGATGCTACCAGCCTGGCGTCCTTCTACTGGGTAGCGGAAGCGATGATCCCTTTGTTTGGGCTGCTCTGTGATCTCACAGTATGGCTCGGACGTAGCACGTCTAGGAATGGCGTTGGACAAGCCACCTGTATTAATAGGGAGGAGGGGGGGGGGGGGGGGGGGGAGGGGCACAAATATTTGTTAGATGTTGGGTGATAAATAATGCTAACATATCAAAGCCTTGTAAAGTTCTCATATTACATATCATGCAGAAAACAATGAAGTAGTGAGATTTCAAGAGATACACAATAATGCATGTGCTTATACATGTATGTCTATCTTCACAGTTTAAGCAAAAAAATCTGTCCATGCTTTACAAAATTCTCTATGAAAACTGGAAGAATTGATACATATCTCATATACCGGCTTTCAAAACATCCACTAAACATTTGCTTCACTATACTCAACCCCCCCCCCCTCCCCACCCTTGATCCCTCCCTCAATCTCTCAATTCTCTCGCTATCTTTAAAATCTCTATCTCTCTCCCTCTCCTTAGCCATGACACATAGAAACAGAACTTTGGAAAAACATAAGCCCGATTTCACAAAGGAGGTTTAAACCCTCATTTACACAATCCATGATTTTAAAATTAGCGCGAATTAAGCGTACCTTGTCTTGCGCGCGTTTAATATTGGACCTCAGACTGTGCTTATTTTGCGCTAATTTTAGACCATGGGTTATGTAAATGAAGATTTAAATAAGGGCAATGAAAACAAAACCAAAACCAAACACGAAGTTCTGCAGATTATGCTCAACTAGTTTTGATACCGTGATGAACAAGGAAATAGCTTTTCCGGGATAATTATCATACTTGATACACACTTCACACATGAATACACTCAGATTACCACGTACATGTATATATATGCCTACATGTACTACATCTTTGTTCAGTGACCAGTATTCATATATCAAGTTACAATTTTCCACCAGGGCAGGGAATAATAGGGCAGGCAATAATGTACATGTATTTCAAAATACAAGTTGCAAAGTTAATTATTAGCCTACATTAAGTTTAGTCATTTTTCACCATTGTCATTACTCTACAGCATGCAAAAGCTGAACAAATTGCAGCTCATATGAAACTAATCGACAATCAGGGTAGCATTAGCATGACCAGAGTCACCTGACTATGTTCAATAAGACCTGGTTGAATTACATCTGGGAAGTTCTGCAGATGACAGAGTTTAATACTACCTACAGTATGTACAGTACATGTATGTGACTGCATGGAAGAGAAGACGGTTTGTATAAAACAATGTGTTTTTATGACACAGATTTATGCGAGCGCACTGTCCGCAATTTAAAAGCTCTAACCCCTCTCTACTTTTTTGTTATCATCACTTGGTCATTTCAAATTTAAGTCTTACAGCCTTGTTCAAGGGATTTGTGAGTTTCTGATTAATTACACAAGTAGAAATTCTCAAAATCCAAAATTGAATATTACAATTTATGCATAAATAATATCTACTACATATCTTTGGTATATCAAAAAGTAATAAATACTGGAGGAAATGGGGCTAGTCGCTACTACCAATAGAGCTCATAGTCCAAAATACGTATTCCCATCTGTACAGTGCTTTTCTGCAATTTAGTCTTGTATGCTAAACAATGCACACCGACTTTACACCAGATACACCTTCACAATAAACTCAATTTTGGTACCCACTCAAACTAATCGAAACAAAGGCTTTAAAGGTAAAGACCAGTATTGGAAACGCCCCAATTTCAAAAAATGAAATGGAAGCTCTTATTACCAATCATGTGAAAGAATATGTTTTGACTAATACATAATGATAACAAATTTGCCGGGGAAACCGCCTGCTAATTGATATATTTGGTAAATTAGTTTATCTACATGGTCTGAGAGAGGTAAATGCACGAGTCACGCACGTGTGCGTATAGTCCCATATACATCTTTCTGTGTACAGTGCTTGTAACTTTACGAAGACTGGGCCATATTTCTTATCATTTTGATGATTCCAGAACCTTGCAGTACACACCAATACTTATATGCTAGATGATCAACCTTTTCTGATCGATTCCACAACGTTTCTTTCACAATGCAATCACATGACCATAACTGGTCTTTACCTTTAAGTAGACATTTAAAGAAAATCCTAAATATGAAGATGAAGATAATTATATCAATAAGATTTTGAACCCCATAATAAACACTGAGTCAGTGAGTGGCATTCAACTAACTAAGTAATTTCAAATTGGAAAAATATGCATTTCAACTCCACTCCAGATTGGAAACGGATCCTTTACCCATGAGGTCACGAGCAGGACCCTGGCTTACTGAAAGTGAATACAGGCAGTGCGGAGATGGGTAATTATCTCGCTGCTAACACCGAATTCGTTTTGTATAATCAATGGTCATCGAAGCATCCACGTTGCCAAGCTCAATTTTTCACAGAAATTTTCCCTTCTCATATCTCCTTTGTTTGTCAGCGGCTTTTGCTCAAGCTATGAGTAATGATTTCAAATGGTTATATCAAAGTATATATGAAAAATTGTATTAAATGATGATCTCTTTCTCATTTCATCAAACATTTCATGTTCAGCTGTCTCCAAAAACTACCCTCAGATTGATTCCAGACATATCCGGTCACATGGCTATATATATTCACAAGATTTTATAATTCTGTGAAATATGAGTACCGGTAGGCCTAGAACTAGGATCATACCCGTACTTGGAGTGGATGTGTGTGACTACCCTCGAAAGGAAACTAGAGTGGCACTTAATTTAAACAAAATTGATCTAACTTGAACCAGACCTTTGTCCTGCTGTGATTTGTCTGCCCACCACTAAAATGTTAATAGTTAGGCGAGATCAAGCGCAAGTGATGCAGCTATTGCATGTTGGTGCATCTTGGCCATCTCTTGGCTGTTCTTGGGGTAAACTTTGGCTCTTTTTTAGACTTTTTTGTGTAGTTTTGGTAGATTCATGCAATTAGTGGTTTTCTAGGCAAAGAGAAGAGGCTATTTTTTTATATTTCATGTGTGGATATCCAACAGCAAGAAGATTTTCATGATTTGTTTTAATAGTAAATACACAAATTATAAACATCATATGCTTAGCATATGCTCGACATACATGTAGGTACCAAATTCATAAACATTTGTTATCTTTGGATTCAGTTTGAATGCCTCCTTTAAGCTTAGTACTTCAAAGACAAATAGTAATGATGATGAGCCCTAGGAAATGATGTGAAACTGGCATTATGAAAGTAAGAATTATAACCTTTTAGTAACTAGGATACAAAATGAGATGAGAGAATCAGAGTATGCAGGAAATAAAATAGGAAAAAAGTTTATGTATACCAGTCAGTACTTGATACGAGTTAAAGGCATTGTTTTATAACAATGTTTCCAGTTTTACAAATCTGAGTTGTATGGTCCTACACCGTATTATCAGTGTCTGTCATATGGGTGTAATATTGAAGCCCTAAAAAAATTGTGGTTCAAAATGATCATGAATTGCCTCAGAAAAGTAAAAATCTTGGAGTGACCAGTTTTACCATACTAATTTTCCCCAGTAAACTGTAGTTAAATTTGAATTCTGATCAAAAATATCTTGATAATCAATCAGGCGATCGGCTTGTAAAAGTCATGGGATTCCTGACTGACCTATTTTATAATTTGTATAGGTTTATAATTAGGATTGCAGCAAGAGCTAAATCCAGGATTTTGTTTAGAATCTGAGACAAAGTACCGTAACTCAATCCCTTTAATGCCCTTCATATAAGTTGACAATACGCAAAAGCGAACAATTCAAACATGTCTATTAATATTCCACCATAATGTTCCTATAAATAAAAGACATTACTACTCAATTTCCTCAATTATCACCAATTCTTTTTTATAGGATACTAACCATTTTACAGTTCTGCTGAAATCAATCAAAAACAAATTATAGTTATTTGTACAGACCTAAAGGGATTTAATCAATGTTAAAAAAAAGCACCATACCACTTAATAGTACATTATGACTGACCAAAGTGCTATTACCCCAGTTACTGGATTTAATTATTATTCTGCATTTAACAGTGCACATACAGTCTCCGCTCCCCTAAGGAACACACTCCAACTAGTCGCCTGCTTTCTCATGTACAAGGACACAAATGTTTACAAATGTAAAACAGCAAACATTAGATTAGCATATCTACATGTACAGGTCTACTATCTAGTAGCAACAATATTTTTTTACTTTCATTTTGGAAATGCTAAAATCCATTACAACATCCTTTGAGTAGCGCACTAGATTCCACCATTTTCCCCTTTCTTTACCCAAGCTGTTTCCTGTCATAATTCATGGATGTAACAACAGTCAATCTAATCTTCAATTTTCCTCCCAAAAGTTTAGGACAATATGAGGGGAAGTTTACAGAAAATTCTCCAAAATATTAAATGTTTGCGTTACTGAGATTTTGGATTTTTGGGGGAAAAGGCCCTATAAGAAAACAATGTAACAAAGTCAAGGGTAGTGACAATGGCAAGCAATTCTAATGACATTGACACTACTCCTCTATATTCATTTATGCCTATTCATATACATGACATGTACATGTATTTCACAACATGGATAGAATTATTATAAAAATCATCTGTAATTTCTCCAACTTCATTCTGTTGATCAATTTTTCCTGAACACTTTCAGAGTTTCTGGGATTCAGCCCCTCTGTCCTGAAATATAATGATCAACTAACAGCCTTTTCACACACAGCTAAAATTCATCGTATCTAGAGATGATTAGAATCACTCAACAGTTTAAAACATGTTTATAGACAAAATTTCCCAGTGTGAACATCGTTTATACGATGTTGGGATAGATACGAAGTCGCGATCCATACGCCCCTAAAAGCAGGCTGCAGATACGAAGTTCGTATCTAGAGAGCTTGACATTTTGTGTGTGAAAGGAAATTCGTGTTTAAACGTGTTTAAACTGGATGGAGCGTGCGCTTTGATTGACATGACATGACCTTCAATGCGCAATGGCACTACTGCGCATTTTACGAGCAGTAGTTAATCACGAAACTATTAACGATCGCAACGAAATTTCTGTGTGTGAAAGGCTCGTGAT